AAAAGAAAAAAAAACGGGAAAAGAATCTAAACAAAATCTAAGAAAAAAAAAAAAAAATAGAATAAAAAAAAAAAGAACGAAAAACCTTCCTAATTTATGGCTGCCCGATTTAAACGGGCGCCTGTCTTTTCACAGGGGACTTTAAGTCCCCAGTCAGTTGAGGACGCGCCAGATGGCGCGTTATTTTTTCATTTCTACCTTTTTTTTTTTTTTTTTTTTCTTCTTGTTGTTAGCTTATGCCCACGGTTGTGTCGCTTCGCCCCGATGGCGCTGTCCCAGCAGGACTACAAAAAAAGAAAACTCGAAAAAAGAAAAAAACTCCTTACCTTGACGTCGTTGCTGTCTCCATCGCGCCTGTACCTGGATGCTTACGCGTCCAGCTACAGGACAGGTAAGTTTTTTTTTTTCTTCTCTTTTTTTTTTTCTTTTTTTTTTTTTTTCCAAAGAAGAAAATTCGGTCATTTCTCGGCCTATGTATGTCATCCTCACGCAGGGGCCTTTTCACCCTGGCGCGGCTGATTTCAGCCGCGCGATCTCGAAGATCGCACGGCCAGAAATCGGCCGCACCCCTTGTCAATTCGCGGGCTGCTCCAAAAGGAGCTAGCCCGGTAGTGCAGGTTGTTAGGTTCGATCCCCATGTCTGCAGGGTAGTAATCTGGCGACGGTACCTACTGGGCTAGCTCCTTTTCACATTAGAAAAGGAGTGGCCCTTCCATATGAAGGGCTCCTCGTGCCCAGCACCCCCCTTGCTAACGCCTAGCACGCTATGCCTGCTAAGCCGGCTAGCTGTCGTGGCTGGCAGGCGGGGCCGGCGGCCGACAACTTTAACAGCTGCCGTACTTAGCCGGCCTCGACGCCTTCGCCCCCCGAGTCCTTGGCGCAAAAGCCGTATGGACCCTAAGTCATCCCTTCACGCCGCGGTCCATCTTGCCGCGGTGACCCCTTCTTGGCCCGCTTAGGCCCTGAATCGCGCGGCTGTTGACCTTATTATAGGTAGAATAGGCTCAACTTTAGTTTCCCCACGACCGCACACCAGCGCGGCCTCGTCGAAACCCGTGGACGACAGTGCCGACCCCCGTTATCCCGCACGGATGTCGGTGTCGTCCTGCGTGGACGACGCCAGGTTTAAAAAGTTCAAGTCTTTCAGTCATAGCGCTGGTCTGGATAAACTCTGGCAACGTCAATCTCATCAAGTCTTCTAATTAAGTGAGAAGGTCAGACAGCGTCCGACGTTGAAAAATACTGGCAGATACCCTTGTCAGGGTTTCTGCCCCGACAGCATTCCCGGGCCCCATTGAACGACTTCCACATCGTTCACGTGGTCGGTACTTCTCAATATAAATTTTTACAAATACCTCTCTTAGTATCTTTTAATCTTAATAAAATCACAGATACTTTAACAAGCGGATATCTGAAAAAACGGATTCCTTACCATTAAACGAGTTATGCCCTCGAAGCCAAAATTTACAATCATTCTGCATTCATCGGTTGGGTATCAGATTCAGCCCCTGGAAGCCCAAAATTTTGAAACTCAGGCCAAGATTCAGCCCCTGGAAGCCCAAAATTCAAAGGACTTAGTTTTCATGGTTCTGGCTAACAAAATTCATTCGGTTGGAAATCAATATTTCAATCATCTGGGCAAGCAACCATTACTGCCGGAAATTTAACCTGGGTCTCTCATGTCCATGGGGATTTATCCACGACACTTCAACACACTCACGTGTTGCCAGGAGTTTAACCTGGGCCACCCACGTAACACAAGGATACTCGTACTGTACTACAGTCACGGTTGTCGGGGATAATAATAGCAAGGCTCCGGTGTTCTACCATCCCTTCTGGAAGACCCGTATTAACCTTCCGCTAATTCCCAGAATGAGTCAGGAATAACCCCTGACAGGTCTCCATAACCCAACCTATGATAATCGTTCAGACATAATCTGAACTAGCCATTCAATACAAGAACCCATCATTTAAGTCCTTTACCCGAGTTTCATAACCCATCCGATTGTTCAATTTTACAAATACCTAGGATTATTATGTCTTAGTATCCCCGAATTCTACATGACTGCGTCGAGGAGTGGTGTAATCCTCCACAAAGGATAACATCTCAACATCAAGCCCCGATTTAGATTCGAGCCTCACCACATTCCCTCCGATTCCAGTATCGCAACCCTGTTAATGCCACGTCTACAGGGCGAGGCAACCCCATCCATATAGTCCAAGTTGGTCAGACGAGGATCATAAGGACGTGGCGCCCCTGCATATCACAAGGATAGACGACCAACCCTACCCTTGTGATAAGCAGCGATCTCTCCCCACCATAGGCGAGGTGTCGGCAGGATTACGACACCATCCTCCTTTTCGGAGATAGTGTAGTCATCGTCCTTTTTCAAGGAAAATGACATCATCTCGTTGTGGACCAGGAACCAAGTTTCGGCACGAGCCTCACTACCACCTACAAGGCTCACATCTTTCAGGAATATCAAGACGCAATAAAGACTAGGTATTACATATAAACTTATTATATTTAGTAAACCATGTGCGTACAGAACGAATACTTATCGTTCAGGAAGCCACATGTTACACACTAAGTCATAACTTTGCACAAATGATTCACACCCATCCTTCACAAGCAAAACACATTCAACATAATAAAAGAAATGCATGCTCAGAGAATCATTTTTAGAGGGTTTGAAAAATCATTATGCACATCAATTATCTTGCTTGAGAACGAAGAATAATGTCAAAAATGACGTCACCAAGTAATTCATTACAAGTCCACATGTGTCTGCCCATTACATGGAAAATATATCTTACAAATACTTAATCATAAAATCAGGTCAGCCTGTGGTATCAATGTCTGTTAAGAAAAGTAAGGCATTATCTAGTCTCTATGAACAAACTTCTTCAAGCGTGAGCCTGAAACCCAATCTCGCCCACGTGCTCCATCCATCTCCTCAATCTCGTATGACCCATGCTTTGTTTTCTTAATGATACGATATGGCCCCATCCATCGATTATCTAATTTCCTCGACCACTGCTTTTCAAGAGAAGAGTCATAGAGGAGGACAATATCCCCGACTTTCAACGGCTCCTTTCTAACCCGGGGTTGCTTATCCCATCTAACTTTGTCCGCCCGTCTCTACAACTCTTTCCTTAGTCGCCTTTATTTGTCTGACCCTTAGGTCTAGCAACTCTTCTGTAGAAAGCATGACCTTCATATCCTGTTTTTGCCATGTGGTCAGAAAACTCTCGATTGGAAATGTAGCATGTCGTCCAAACCATAACGTAACCGGAGCATACCCAGTAGTTCGTTTCACAGTTATATTTTCAACAAATATGGCAGCTCTGAGATAGACGGGCCATGCTGACGGCTTGCCAGCACACCATTTGGCTAGCAAATTAGTCAAGGTGGCGTGCCCACGTTCGACCGGAGCATTAGCCTGGGGATGTGCTCTAGTGGTGTAACTATAGTTCACTCCCAGTCTTTTCATAAGAGCCTGAACCTCTGCTGCCCGAAATTCGCCGCCTCGATCCATCACGAATTCCCGAACAAATAGGTACCGAAGGTAAAACTCTTCGATACATTCTGCCAAAATTTTCCCGGTTCGTTCACGGATCGCACGCCCATCAACGAACCCGGTAAGATTGTCTCTCGCATCAAAAATGTATCTGTATCCATTAAGCCCGGGTGGCATAACGACCAAATCGAGGTGCACAACCGCACCTGGGTCAACCACATACCGTGGATTGAGAGGCTCGACATAACGGAGGTTCGAACGTTTCTGACAGGGGATGCACGAGTTGCAGAATTCCACCACCATCCTATCTATACCATCCCAAAAATAGAAATGTTGAATCTTTCTTAATGTCACTCGAGCAGATCAATGTCCACCTGCCACAACATCATGTAGGGCCGCAATCACATCCAACTGTCTGGGAACCCCACACACCACTCTCTTAGGCGTACCATTGTCAGACCTTTTGAAGAGATGCCCCTGTCGGACAAGAAAACCCTTTGCCTTTTCTCTTATTTCTGGCTCTATCCCTGCCTCATTCAGGTCCCCATTCAACCAAAGCCCAATCTTCTTATAAGTCCCATCATATTCTTCCTCGCGAAAGGCTTCTTTGATCTCACTGCCTTCCCCTTCTTCCAACATTAACTTGCCGCGATCTTCCTGTATTAACGAATTAACGAGAAATACCATTCCCCCGGAGGTCCTGAGGACTTCGTCGCCTTGCTCATGTCCTCCTTCAATTGTAAGTGGCTCTTCTGACAGTCGTACCGGATCCGACAATGTCAACCTCATCATTTGCTCAGCAGATCGTTCGCCCCAAGGATCCTCCTCAATAAAGGGCTCTCTCCCTACAAGTTCTGAACGCCTTTGATAACAACCCGACGAACTCCAGATAGACTTCCCAGGTCGGGACAGGGCATTAGTGATGTACTCCCAAACATTGATACTTAATTGTTGCTCGTCCGCCTCCAAGAACCCATCCACAGGAACCGAGTCTTCTGCCTGATCTTTCGAGGAGTCCCACTCGATCCGACTCAATCCATCTGCTCGATTTTTCACTCCTGCAATGCGTTCGATCTCGAAATCGAACATCCAGATATAGATCAACCATCGAGCAATAGTTGGATCCGAGGGAGAGTAATTCTTTAGTGATTGCGCCAGGGCAGTCGGATCCACCCGCAGGACGAACCGTCTTCCAAACACATAGTTTTGGAAGATCTTGAAACAATGAAGCACTACAAGGGTTTCCTTTTTAAATTGGGTATATTTCCGTTCCGCCTCATTCAGCGTTCGACTTTCAAATCTCAATGGCCTTTCTCGCCCTTCTCCATCCTTTTGGATGAGGACACCACCCAATGTTGTGGGGCCTGCATCCGTTTCAACCACAAAGGGTCGATTCGGGTCTTTGTCAAAGCACGGGACCCCCAGGATCAATCCTCCTTCTCGGAATTGTGCCTTGATATCGTCCACCGCCGCCTGTTGTTTTGGACCCCATTCCCATTCTTGATTTTTACGCACCAACTTCCGTAGGTGCTCCACCCTTGCTGCAAACTTGCGAATGAAGATGCGTCAGAATCCGCAAGTCCCAAAAAAATTGCGCACATCAGTGATGGACTTAAGCGAAGTCGGCCATTCCAGAGTCTTATTTGTCTTCTTGGAATCTGGTCGACGGTCCTTCTCATCACACAAGAAGCCCAAGATAGTTGCCTCACGCATACAATGCCGAGATTTGACACCGCTGGTGGTGAGGTTGTACTCCTTTAACTTGGACAGGACCTTCTCCACGTTACGAACGTGCTCCCAAACAAACTTTCAAACGCCTGGCAGCACCTCCGCCTCATCCTTCACGCGCGGCTCAGGTATGGCCAAGTCATCGATATAAGGTGAGGTGACGTCCGGACAAAGTGGCTGCATGACTCTCATCATATATCTCTGAACAATTGCTACGGCGTTCGTCCATCCCTGAGGCGCAGCACACATATGAATTAATCCCCTCGGCGTATGCATGACCGTCATCGGCATGTCTGCCGTATAGAGAGGGAATTGATCATATCCTGAATACAAATCAATGAGAGTTATTATAGGCCTGCCTGCGCACGACTTTGACAGCTGATCAACATGCGGAAGTCCTCCGGCATCACGAACCGTCACTGAGTTCAGCCTCCGCAAGTTCTGCACCCAATGCAATACGCCACTTGGCTTGATGAAACAAAACCAAGGGGACGCATATGGCCCATATGAGTAATCCGCGACCCTTGTCCGAATTTTACCATCCAAATATTCAACGACTCTACGGTGATCATCTGGATTTGGATAACGCGGACCTCGTATGTTCCACGACTCGTGAGGTACCGTATGAATTCTGATCATTGGGATCATGTCAACGTCAAGCCTCCCTCGCTCGTCATCATCGAAGGCGTAAGCCAGATGAGTTTTCTTCATGACACTGACAAGGAAGTCCACCTCCTTTTCAGTAAGCGACCCTTCCTCTCCAATGATCATATTCTTAATCCTCTCCTCCGTCAATCGACATGGCGCCTTCACACTTTTTTCCTTCCTCATCCTGATCCACTCTCTTTCTTCTTTATAATACACTTCTTCTTCTTGCGTGATCAAGACGGGCACTGGTCGAGCCTTCTCGCCTACTCTCTTGTACTTACGTTTCGCTCCAACTCCAAGTCGTCCACCTATAAAAAAGGCCCTTGCTTGGCTTCTGGCTCCGCCAATGCATCACCCTCAGAAGACCTGTCGGGCCGATAGGTAAGATACATCCTACCAGTCCCGCTTTCTCCTGCCACAATCTCTGTCAATGTTTGGACCAACTTGGGATCCACAGACGAGTCTGTCGCAACGAATTCGATCGCTTGAGAGATGTTGGGTAGAGCAAGAGAAAATTCTTAGGGATCGCTCTCTTCTCCGAGGGATTCCTTCTCCCTTCTGAGTCTTTCGGATTCCGTGAAAGAGTAGGACCCCGGATTGAGTCGGTTCCTTGAGTTGGTTGGTCCTGTGTTCTCACACTTCAGCACCTCGTAATAGCCACATACGGGGTCACACAAAACCACGATCATAGTACCATCGTGCTTGTTAAAGATGATGAATTCTGATCGACATAGAAAAGTTCTGCCCAGCAACACGGCATGCTCAACCCTGGGTAGCACATAGAAATAAGAACGGACTTTGACTTTACCAACTTGTACCGTCACGTCACTCGTCGTTCCGCAAAAGGTAGTTATCCCACTTGCAACCACCAAAAATCCAGTATCTGCTCGATTGATATTGACTCCTGCCCCCATGGCTTCTCTTTCCCGTATAATGTTCATTTCAGCTCCATCATCGATGAGAGCTGAATATTCGCATGGCCCAATTTGCACCTTCAACAACCCAGTAGCTACACAGTGCCAGTCCATTTTTGTCCCAGGCAGAGCCCAACTAATCTCTTGAGGAAAAATATCACTCATCTTAACCGTCATCACATTTTTCCTTGACAGTCGGTGTCTGAACTCCTCTCGGATTTTGGACGACGCGGCCAAGAATTCTTTGAGCGTGAACAAATCGCGTTGGCTCTCCAGAATCCGGTCCACGATTTGCTCGATATCCAACCCTTGTTCCACTGGAATTGTGTAAACTTGCTTCTTCTTCTTCAATTCTCCTTCCCCAACGTCGGCCTTGCCCGTTTCTGACTCCCTCTCCAGGACTCTTTGTTTGGTCTGCCTCTCATCTTCGGGTCGCAGCAATTCATCCTCCTCGCCATCGTCTTCTTCAATCGAAATCATCTCGGTTTTTCGAGGCTGACTTGGCCCTTCTTCCGGTGCTGCCCTAAGCCGCGACGGCCTTCGAGCCCTCCGAGTTTGTGGGAGGCCAGCTGTGGCAGGTCGCTTGAAAGCAGGACGGGACAAGATTGTGGTGGCCATCAAACGCCCTGCCGACGGCGATCCAGGCTGTGATGCGGTACCATCAGTAAGACCTCCTTGGCCGTCTCTGTCCCATCCTCCAAACAAAAAAACTTGGGGAAGCCCGAGCCATTCTTCATTCATGTCGGCGCATACTTGAACGAAAGCTTTCCTGCATCGAGTCATTTTTCTGACCACTGCTTGAGCTCGCTGCAGTATCTTTTCCTGCTCTTTGCTCAACCCTTCATCCGCGGCCTTGACATCTCCAATCATCAATGACTCCATCGTCGCTTCCAACTCAATCTGTTCGACCTCTTCCGGAGAAGCCAGTCGAAAAGTTGCTGGAAGATCTCGCCCCATACGTCGGAAAGCTTCCTTTCTCATTCCTCCCTCCACATTGGGATCGATGAGATTCCCTTCGAAGTCGTAGACCTCGCCTCGGATATTCGTATATATAACCTTATCGTTTTCATCTTTGGTAACGGTCTGACAAAACCGTATCCCATGTCCATCTTGGCCACAATACTTGCAAAACCAATTCTGCCAATTACCTCGGCCGCCCCCATTGCCTCGGCCTCCCCCAGTGCCTTGTCCTCTACCTCGACCTCGGCCTCGGCCTCCTGCCTGAGGTTGGGGTTGCTGAGGAGGGGCTAGAGCCGCCTGTTCCTGATTACTTCCTTGTCCACCTCCTCCATTATTCTTCCGCTGCTTCTTACTAGTGCCCTGCCCTCCTCGTATCTGGTTCAGGGCCTTCCGTTCTGCTTTGGTCAATTTTCGAGGAGGCTCCTCTTCCTCCTCGTCTTCCTCTTCACTGCTGCTACCACTCACTTCCTCCACAACGGGTGTTTTGCCCTTCCTTTTCCCACCTTTTGTCTGGACCATCATCACCTGTAGCTTTAGTCTTTCCTCCTTCATGTCCACTATCATGTTCCGCATGTCTGTCAGGGTCTTGTAAACGGCTTGATCCTTGTCCGCGCTTACCCCTTCCTTCTCACGGTCCTCCTTTTGCTGCTTCAGGAGACGGTAAAGCATTTGGTCGAAACTTCCGGCCAACAGATTTTCCTTTATCTTTGGCCAGTCCTATCGCCCACTCATATCCTTCATCAGTTCTCGCTGCTCAACTTCTGAAAAATTTTCGAGGAAGATGAGGCACCGATCCTTATCTGGAAGGTCAGGCACTAAGCGCGCAACCCGCTCAAACTCCCTAAGAAACTGCTTAGCCATATCAAACTTCCGGCGACTAACCTTCCGTAAGTCCGCCAGATCGAGCAGTTGATCCCCCAACTGGTACTTGTCCAATAATTTGGCCTTAAAGTCTGGTCAGTCGCGCAAAGCTTGCACCCACTCCGACACCTCCTCTTTGTACTCGACCATACAATATCGCTTCACCATTTGAAGCATCTTCTCACTCGACCATTCGCAACAACTGCCCAATAGTTCAAACTTGTCCGCCCATGCTGAGGCATTGGTGCCATCGAAGAGGGGAACTTGAACCTTCGGCAACTGTGCCTTCTGATTATCAGCCTCACGAATGGCTCGTGCGAGTTCCAGAATATCGTTGCGACGATCCCCTGCATTACTATTTGCGATATCAGTATTTCCTCCCGTCATCTTGGGAGAATCAACACGACAAACCCACATGTCTGAGTGTCAAATAGATTCCAACAATTCCCTCCAAACCTTGCCTTCTTTCTTTTCCCAGACACGAATAACCACTGACTACTTTCAATCCAAACAAATAATACACAATACTTAAAATCATCATAACCATCCTTTTTTCGAGTATCGTTCCACCAGGGACGACGGTAATCTGCCGTCATCCCTCGCAACGGCGCCACCTGTCGAGCGCATCGGCCCTCGCGTGAACGAGGGCCCTCCCGGCTATGTCACGTAGGAGTTAGAAAAACATAATCGAGAGACAACTTAGGACGATGCAGAAATAATCCCGCGAACCGCCGAGACGGACGAGGTCGCATTGTCCCTTCGCCGCTCTAGCCGGGTGCGCCAGCTATACATCCCGCGGTCCCCTACGACATGATAGATTTTCGCGGGGCACAACTTATCTTCCCTTAGGGGCTGTCACCACCCTCAGGGGCGTATCCCTACCGAGCTACTGACCCACGTGCGAAAACTTTTACATGCAATTGCAGAGGTAGGTCAGCCGAGGGCGTTTGCTCGCTCGCTGGAGTATAGGTACGCTTGGCTAACGCCAAGTGGACCCGAACGTTGTTCGTTCCCGAGGGCGCTGATCTCCTCGGTACGAACGAGCGTCGGTCGACTAGGACGACCTCGACCAAACGCGAAATCCAATATATAATCCTAGCCCCTTTATAATCCCCTACTCATAAAATGAACGAAACCAATACATAACCAACATTTCGACTTGATGAGATGATATGCCAAGGTTATCATTTCCTGCCTACCTAACTGAAGAGACAATTATACCGTCATCCGAGGACGGAAGATCCGTCGCGCACARCCTCTACAAGTAAATACATGCAGATGAACAAGTGATCTGCTTCGTGGTCGATGTTTAAWYTCCCGGTCCGACCGCACCGTCGTACCGCACGCACCTACTTGGAGGAGCGAATGWCAATTTTGTTTGTCGCTTTGTCCTCCTAGRCAATAATTWYTCTCTCTGTTCCACRAATGACRAAGTAGCCATTGCCAACACCAGGTTACTTGGCGTGGGACTGTTTCGTCTTCTGTTACCCCGTCCTCGTAGTTCCGCTCGACACCTCTTCAAGTGTTCGGCTTTCGCTTTGTTCAGCGTATTTTTAARTGGTTGATTACCCCTCAATGCATCAGCATGATAGTGCTATCATCGGGGCAATCCAGATACTATCCATCTGGTTGGCCTACCTACWCAAGGTCGTTGTTTTTTTTTGTTATTATTACCCTTGTAGAGTCACATAGGCGTGACCCTACTATAAGGACAACTCACCATGACACCAGATTTGAGAGGRTGCGCTTAGCCGGGAAAACCCTGTCGGCCCTCATGGGCCTCAGCCTCTATCCGGCCGAGTCGTGTTAGCTCCTCGTCGTCAAAAGTCAAGGTGGAGACACGTCCACCTCGCACAACTCGGACCTTCCGCGTATCATAGAGAGAAGTCATCCGTGAGGCGAGCTTCTAGACTATGGCGCGGAACGGCTGATGCATCCGAAAAAGGTGCGTGGTCGTGGTGTCCTTAATCCGGATGACGCCGTAGCGCTTCCCGGATACGGTGATTTTAACGCTCACAATGATCCGAGAGAGGCATTGGAGGTTGCTCGCGCGATGGAAGTACAAGGTATATCCATGAACTTCTCCCAGAAGTCGGACCACATTGGCACGAACATCTGCGCGCGAGTTGGGAAAAAATCCCCGCCCATCACTGAGCAGGCCGATAAAGCCAATCCATTGTGTGGGTGCTCCATTCTGAACCAGTAGTAATTGCTCCGCGCGCCGGATCACCTCCTCGTCCATAGTGTCGCGAATCAGTAGATACCTGACCTGAGGTCTCGCCGTCCGCTAGGCATCTGCACACCGAAGAAGCTACCTGTTAGAAGAGGCGCTCATAAACTTCACAAGCCTCGTCATAAAATGCAGTAACGTCGAAACGTTCCGAGCGAATGATATTAAATCTATTCGCTCGGACCCGTCTCACATGATGAGGGAGGCCGAACGGACCATGCAAATCGTTCAAATGGAGTGCAATATGGAGGAACATCCCCCTAACCTCGGGAATGTTCTCTACTCCCGGACAGTCCTCGTGAACCACAACTAGGTTCATGTCTCCATAATCTCGTAATGGATTWGGAGGCGCAAAATCATATCRCACAATACGCTGGCCTGRCTCAGCCAAGAAAATATAACTCCGCGGTGGTTTCCTCACGCTCCCGTCCCAGAATCGTGGCACATCCCGTTCCGAGTAAACCTCAAGGGGGTTGTACACCAGCCTTCCTTTTCGTGTCATGCCGGCGCGGGATCGTGTCGGCACCGCTAACCAATTAGCCGCTGCCTCGCGTGTGCTGAACAGTCGGAGGATCACCGTCTCCGCAAGCATCTGAACGACGAAGCGGTAACTCTCTCAAAATAAATTTAGATATACCCGTTTTCATATTCAATCTCCACTCCYCTTTTTKGGYTGTGATTCTTGTGTCACGGTCCATCCGCGAAAGTAGTGCCTATTTGCACTTCTTTTAACTCTAGTTGAGCCACGGRCTGAGCTTCTTATGGCACCGGTCCTCCCACGCGTTGGTGGCTCCTAAGGCGGCCACCCAGCAGGGTACTAGATTCAGCCTCCCCTTTCCCTGAAATTCCCTGAAAGCACGAGGAGGCGACTGCTCCTAGCTTCAAGACACCCTACCCTCTAGGAAGTGGTTTGGAATACCCCTCCCCCTCGCCCGAACACRTTGTTGAGGACTCAGAAGTTGGGCTGGCTCCACCGCAACAGCATGGTATCCCCCCGCATAAGCGGTCCGCTCCGAGTCGATAACAGGGCCGGCCCCTAAGGCGACGAACCCMCGCCTCGGATGCCTCCTAGAGAGAAGAAGCCTAGACCCTAGGTGCAGACGACCGCTCTATGCCTTCTCGGCTAAGGGGCGACTTAGACGAATTGAGAAGAGAAAAAGGTGAGATATTTTGGACGGGCATAGAAGGATAGTGGTCGTTAGGGATAGAATGGGGAAATCCTTGGGAAGATACTAAGGTGTTTCCTTGTCTTCTTTTAATTTTCCCACAACGTTCATTCTTCTGGCACCCGTTCGTTCGCACTCCCGTTATTATTTTTGTTCATCTTCTTTTTCGTCACATGCATTCATGTTGAGTGAGAGAGAGATAAGCATCCCTATTATTATCTCGAGCAAACAATGCTGATTCCTTCTCACATGCATCCCCCAACCTACCTGCACAATCAAGAAAAGAAATAATCAAGAGATTCATCCATCCCTCAAACAAGTCAACCCTTTCTCCACACGCATGACATCACACTCTCACTCTACCCCTTCCCCTGAATTCAAAGCAAGGTCATGCAAGGTGTGGGTTCACGCGGGTGTGCAAAGGAGCTGAGTCGCACTGACCTTGAGTGAATTTTTTGAAGGCTCACTCAAGAAAGCCAAGTATTTGCTGAAAAAAGTTCGGCCGCAAAACTCTCGTTGTGGCCACTCACAAGGATGGGTCATACCCTCCTTCAACCGCCACCTCTGACYYAGGCGCCGCTCACCAACACAGAAGCGAGCCCGCCGTTGAGGAGGGCGTCACACTCTCAAATCCCACAGTCTCAATGTCACACCTTCCACCAAAGACAGCACCGATTCAACCCACCAAATACCAAGCCAGGCCACCACCTGCCTGCCACAATACTTGGTGGTCTCGGACCCAATCCCYGCTTACTAAGYGTGCCGCAAAAAARTAACAGCGGCCTTAACAGTCCTTACRGGTACCGCGTGCCGCAACGTCCTCAACAAGACGATCGCCACACCCTTTCTATTACAAAGTGCACTTCCACCTTGGCRGTATCGTCCTTGCGGCAACKTCCAACCCCCCTTCTCGCAGTCCTGTGCAAAATACTGTTGCCACACAATCCAGTAGCACCCGCGCCGTACCGCCAAGAAAATCGRTGTTGCCGCTGCAAGAATTCGGCAGCGCTTCCGCTGTACCGCCAAGAAAACCAGCGCTGCCGCCGCACAATTTCGGCAGCGCTTCCGCCGTACCGCCAAGAAACCAGYGCTACCGCCGCACCGTTTCGGCAGCGYTTYCGTCGTACCGCCCAATCCAACAGCAGCCTCAAGGCTACGGCTTCCCCACAGCCCGCAAYACATTACGGAAGGTGGGGCAAGAAGCTCCTAGCCTTTAGCTATGGCTGCCTCCTCCTTCCTCCAAGTGCTAYTGCAGACCTCCAGCACTTCGCCTCCTCGCACCAGCAGCCAGCCAGCMAGCATCTACTCAAGTAGAATGCCCCAGCAGCATTGCCAAAAGTGTGAGGGTGTTGGGTGGCAGGCTAGCTTTTATAGTTGGCTGAAGGCTGAGGGCAGCTACTTTGCCCCCAGCCAAATCTCGGAACAGAGCTTGACCCTTGATCAAAATCGCGATCAAGGGCCAGGAAAACTTGATATTCCCCTAGGGGAACCAAGTCCTAAGCCTTGGCAGTGCATCTGGCCTTCTCCCGCGGCCAGACGCAGCCCCGAAACGGCYGTACCAAGCCTTTTTCCTGCAGACTATTGAAACCAACAGACTGCT